AGGCTGCAGGCTGCCGGGCTCGCTCCTGCACCGAGCAGCACGCAAGCCGGTCCAACAAGCCTCAAAGCCCTCACGGAGCCAGCTGGATCGCTCCCGGGCTGGGCTGGAGGGGCAACAGGGCCCCACTCCCAGCCCTCCGCGGGGGCAGGCACTACGTACACCAAATACTGGTCCCGCAGTTTGCGCAGCTGCATGAGGTCTGGCTTGAGGCTGTTCATGCGCTTGTCGATCTCCCGGTTCTCCGAGGCTTGTTTCTTCAAGTCCTGCTCCAGCTTCATCTTGCTGTCGTGGATCTCCGTGATGCGAGACTTGAGCTTCTCCGAGTTCATGAGGATCCTGGGAGAAGGAGGGGGGTTTAGGCTGTGAGCCAGAGTGGGGGAGGCAGAGGAGGCAGCCTGCCAGCTCCAGCCCACAGCATGCTGCTGGAGAGACAAGGATTGCACACGCTTCGGCTCTGCGCAGGGCCGGGATGATCCTTCCAGCCCCCAGAGCCCTTACCCAGGCAGGGCAGGTCACCAACACCCCCATCCTCACCTTTGCACCTCCTTCTCGTTGCCCTCTCGTCGGAAGCGCTCGATGTACTCCTTGCTGCATTTCTCCTGCGTCTGACACTGCTCCTCGAAGATCTTGATCGTTTCATTGAAGGCCTCAATCGCCGTCCTCTTCATCTGCAGCTCCTGAAAAGGGAGGGGAGAGCTGAGGAAGGGGGAAGATTTGGGCAGGTTTCTGCCCGTTCTCATGCCCTCCCCCCCCAGCCCCAAAGCAGCACTGTCCTTGCTGCAGCCAAAATATCCCCCTCTCCAAAGCCCATTCTCTGGGGAGTCCCCTCAAGTCCAGGAGCAGATAAATGAGGCAGTGGGTACCCCAGCTCTGCTCTGCTCTGCGCACAGCAGCATGGCTGCCAGCGACGAGGGGATGCCAGTGCAGCCCACGGGGAAGGCAGCGCCTGCGTACCTGGGAAGTGCGCGTGTACTCCTCGTACAGCAGGTCGTACTCCCAGCTCTTGTCCTGGTACTGCTGGTGATAGACCTTCAGCTGCTCCCCGACGGCTTCCACGCTGTCCTCTTTCACCACTTGGTCCTGCCATATGCACAGCCTCAGTCAGGACCTGCTCTGCCCTACTGCCCCTCTGCAAGGTCCCATGAAGCCCCACAAGATGCTTGTCACCCCACAAAGCAATGTCCCACCAGGGGGAAGAGGTGGGACACCATCATCTACCAAAGGGCCAGAGATGGACGAGCAAATGCCCCTGGTTCAGGCTGTGCTGTCCAGCCGTGTCCCTGTGGCACAGCCCTCACCTGCTGGTATTTGGAGATGGGGTAGAGCAGCCTGGTGTCCAGCTTGGCGTTGTACTGGGCAAGTGACTCGTGCCGGTAATGGGTGATGAGCTCCACCACCGAGCCGAAAGTGAGGGGCTCTGAGAAGCCATACTTCCCTTCCCGGTGAAAGATCTTGATCAGCTTGTTATTGCCTCCCTTCCTGTAGCGGGGAGGGGAGAGAGGGCACTTACCACCACCCCTGCACCCTGCACCAGCCTGACATCTGGGCATCCAGGCAGCCGTAAGCACAGGGACACGTGCCGACAACTCCACCCCAGAGCAGCGGAGGCTCTCGGGGGACCCCAGCGCCCTACCTGAGCGTGAGCGTGTACTCCCCCTGGATCTTGCTGGAGGCATCGCGCACCAAGAAGGTACCATCTGGCGTGTCCCGTAGCTTCTCGTTCACCTCCTCCCTACAAAGAACATGATTGTCACAGCCTGTGAGGTGCAGGCAGAACTCCCCTAGATAACCCGACAGAGACAGGGCACCCAGGATGTGAGTTGCCAGCCACCCCCTTACCGGGAAATGTCACCCCAGTACCACTCGGCGTCCTGCAAGGGCACGCTGTTCCCGTTGGCCAGGCTGGCTGCGCTGGGCTTTGGCTTAGGCGGTTTTGGAGGCAAAGCTGTAAGAGAAAGCAGGATTGAAGCAGGGTGAGCCCAAATCCCCACTCCCCACCTTTGCCAAGGGTAATTCCTTGGAGCACTGAGTCCCCCTCCCTGCAGTGACCATCCTGGGAAGCTCCGCTTGGCCGCCAGGCTGCCAGGAGCTGCTCCAGGCACATCTACAGCAGCAGATGAGCGCCTCGAGCAGGCACCCAGGCACAGCCGGGCTACACAAATGCCCTCGGCAACCCGCTCACGGGGGCAGAGACTCCACACCCACAGAGCACAAAACGCCAGCGCCTTGGGCTCCAAGGAAAGGGCATCTCAGTACCTGGAGGCAACTGTTCTGGCTCCAACTCCTTCGTCTGCAGAAGTGTCTCCAGAAACAGCACGGAGAAGTCAGGACTCAGTTCTGGGCTGCAAAGAGGAGCCAAGATCAGCGGTTGTGGGGGAGAATCTGGCACTGCTCCCGTGCCCCCCAGGCAAAGGGGCCCCTGGGGTCATCTGGTTCATCCCAGCTGCCAGATCCCAGGCTGACCCAGAAACAAGGGCTCTGCCCTGGCTTTGAGTCCCATATCTGTGCGCTGCCAGCAGTTTAATCCCACACGCCGCGAGGCAGGGGCTGCAGGCAGACCTGCTGTTACAGGCGGGACTCCTCGTCCTGGCAGGCACAGTGGCTGACACTTGGTACATGGCTGGAATCGAGAGCCTCGTGTACCTGGCGCCAGGCAGCCGGAGGAGAAGAGGACCGAAGATCTCTCCCAGGACCCGAGGGTGGAGGCTGTTCGTGTTCTGGAGCGGGACCGCAGGCGACTCCAGGGCCAGCAGCAGCTGCTTCCGGCAATTCTCCGGCTGGGGGATCTCTGGGGAGAGCACAAGACACGATGGAAGGGTTGGGACAGCCAGCACTGCTGTCCACGCTCCAGCTGCGTCACAGTGTGGGAGTGCTGTCGGCAGCGGGGGCCATGCGCCAGACCCCATAGGGACAGGACTTATTTTAATACCCCAAACGCATCCGTCTTGCCCAGCCACCCGTTCCCAAGGGGGGCCAGGGGAAACCCTTACCCTGCAGGACGCGAAGGATGTCTCCATGCACGGACAGCGGCACCACGGGGGAGGGCAGGTCCTGCAGGTAGCCTCGCAGCGCCTCGCCCAGAGAGTGCACGTCGAAGAGCTCCAAGTCGCCCAGGGTCCAATCTGCCAGGGCACAGATCTCCCATGGGTGGCGGGCACAACACCGGGCACCCAGCCAGCAGCTCCGGCGCTGCCAGCACCCATCCCAGAGACCATGGCGTACCACCCAGCCAGCTATCACGGGACACGGCAGGTTGGCACCAGGAGGGAGCTCAGGCAGCCCTCGAGCAGCCCACACCACAAGAGGACTCCTGGAAGTGCCCCCTGCGCCCCAGAAATAAGCTGGCTCTGGGAATGCAGGCAGGCCCACCCCCGGGAGGGTGTAGAGGCCATTTCGGGTGCCCACACCCCTTGCCCTGAGCCCTGCCACTGGAATCCTGGGCACGCACGACTCATGACAATTCTGTTCCCTGCTGCTGGTAGAGACAAGCTCAGACGGACCAGCCACGCACTGAACCCAACGGGGAAAATGTCTCCCTCGAACCGTGCTGTCCCACAAAGGCAAGGCGCAGGCTGTCGGGACAGCACATAAAGCCTGTCCCAAAAGCAACGCGACCAAAGCTGACAACACCATGTAGTTGGGGTTTGCAAGAATCTCTGCGGATGGGGACAAGCCAGTGTGGTGCTGGATAAGGCCCAAACCCAGCCGAGAGGCAGACAGCTCCGAAGGCTTCCCGGCAGAGACATCAGCCGCCGGCACAGCGGAGCCAAGGCTCCAGCCACCAAGCTGAGCTGAAAGATCCTCCCCTGCAGATTAGTGGTGTGACAGAGCCAGAGAAGCCTCCACCAGCCCGTCGGCAGAGCACCTCGAGAGCGGGGCACCCCGAAGAGACAGCAGGAGACAAGAGCAGGGGTTCACTTGGTGACCTGCGAGTCTCCCGAGTCGGCGCCACGTCCCTTTACCCCAACCCACAGACGGTGTCGGGAATCCCCCCCTCCTGTCCCTTCCACACGAGAGGGGGACGTGTCGGGACAGGGATGGCCCAGCCCCACAGGCAGCGTGCCGGGAGTCAGGAACTGCCGGGGACAGGCGAGTTTGGCCTGGATTGCATTACTGCTGGCGCTGTCACATCCACTAATCTCCTCCATCTGAGCAGATTCGCCTCCTCACCACGCGGAGCTGGTTCTTACCGGTTCTCAGCGCTTGCCTCAGTTCGGAGCCAGATGTCCTGTACAACATCTCGCTGTCTAACCCTGCGGAAGCGGGGACACTGCTGTTAGCTGTGAGCTGCGCAGCTCCCAGAGCACGCACCGTTTCGGTGCCAGCCCGGCAGCAGCACGCCGGCCGGGCAATGGCTGTGGCATGGCTAACCAGGCCTGGATGGTGTCCAAGCCAACCTCCTGCAGATGCTGCCGCAGCCCCCTTGGCCCCCAGGACACCCGGTTCAGTGGTCCCGTTTCTCTCCTATGGCACAGATATGGGCTGGAAGCGCATCCCAAACCCCAGCACCCATCTGGGGCGCGTAGGCACCCTGCATGCGGAGCCAGCAGCCTCACCCCAGGCCTCTGCGCGGGATGGCACAGCGGCATCCAGCCCAGCTCTGGGGAACAACAGCTCAAGCCAGAGAGGAGCTGGAGACTCCCCCCTCCCGCAGGCAGCTGCGTCCTGCATGTCCCACAGAGCTCGGTCCAATGCCAACAGCTTTTAAAGACAGCTGCCTCCCCCTCTGCCCTCACTGGGGGGCTTCAGGGAGGTATCAGCCCCTTGGTTCTCAGCATCCCCCCTTACCTTTCTTCTCAATAGCTTCCACCAGCTTCACCAGCAGCGGTGGTGCAATCTCAGGAGGGCTGAACTGCTCCTGCAAGTCTGGGAGAGGAGATCCTGGGGGAGAGGGAGGGAGAGAAGGGGTCATCCCCAGCAGACACTCTGCAGCGAAGCCGGACCAGGGCACAACCAACGCTGCTCCCAACAGCAGCGTCCAAGAGCGGAGGAAAGCCATGGTCCCTGCTGTGAAGACACAGCCCACACGAACGCTGCGTGGAGGCCACAGGGAACCACTGAGCTGGCCCAGAAACCGGCACGGCACTTGTTGAGCCCGGCCTTGCTCCGAGCTCCCGATGGGGTGTGCATAGGGGGATCCCTACCGCTCCCTGCGGAGGCTAGGAGGCAGAGCCTATCTCCCTGGGGACCCCGGCACCTGAGCAGGCAGCGCAGGGGTTAGCAGGGCTCCCGGAGCTCAGGCAGGTCCCTGCCCAGCGCAGGGCTGGCGGAGGAGCGCGGCCAGGGAGCTCGCTCACGGTGGTGAGCTGTGATTAATCCAGCGATTCAGACAGAACGCCGTGTCAGCAAATTCCTGGCCTTGATTGCTCGTTTAACATGGAAACCAGCCCTCTGACTCCCCCTCCCCGCCAGTCCACAGCCTCCGTGCAAGCTGTTACAGGGCACAGACAGCCCACGGCACGGGACTGGGGTCCCGTCTCCCTTCCCGGGGGATCTACGGCACCGTATCGGGTGGCATTTCACTGCCACCTCCAGAAGATCTTGAGGTCCCGGCTCTGGGCACCCCCCTTCCCCTGTGCTGGAGGGGTGATGCATGCTGGGGCAGGAGCACGCAGGGCCGGCCGGGCAGCTGCCAGCGGGAGGCTTGCTGAAGGGCAAGTGGTGCCAGACCCCGTCTTGCTTCCAGCTGAGCACCAGCCGGTGCAGGAGGCTCCTCTGGGCCAGTCCACAGCACCGGACAGACCCTGGGGAGTCCACGGTCGGTGAGGACAGCCATCACGCTCCGCTTTGGGGAAGAAGAGCCAAAAAAAGCTGCGCCCCATTGCGAAACACAGCTCTGTTGTCATGGATCTGACCCGAACTTGCCCGACGTGGTCTCACCACGAGGCACAGCAAGCTGAAACTCTGCACCCGGCCGAGCCTCCTGCACCCACAGCCTCGCAGGGAAGACAAAGCAGCTCGCGTTGGTGCAGCTGCAGAACGGGGAGCAAACGGGGCAAGCACCCAGCAGCGCTGCAAGGACCTGGGCTGCTGGAGGGGGGCATACCCTCAGCAGAGAGAGCCCCTGGGCACGGCAACGGTGCCCAGCGTGGTGCTGGTCAGGGTGGGGAAGCTGCAGGCAAGCTGCCAGGCTGGCAGCTCCGAGCCTGACCCTTGGGAAGGGCTGAAGGGAGAGTAAATACTGGTGCTGCCCACGTGGCCCGGATGGGAATGTGCTGCTTCAGCAGGCAGCAGCTTGCCTTTTTCTTTTTTTTCTTTTTTTTTTTTTTTATCAGGCAGCCTGTGCCGGAGCCAGCAGCGGCTCCCGAGCCTGCCGGGCCTCTGGGCTGGGCCGCTGCGAACAAGGCTGCTCTCAGCACGGCCGGGGCAGCTGCGGAAATATTTCCGAGCCACATTTTCCGCTCACGTTCTCCGCGGAAGGCAAACACCAGCAGCTCGTAAATTCACCGGCAGAAAGCCCCGGGTCTGGTCGCTCTGCGGGGCCAGCCCTGCTCCCGGGCGGTGTGACAGCTGTGGCACCAGCCCTGCTCCCTGTGTGACACAGCGGGGCTAAGGGATCCCTGCCACCCAGGGCAGGACCCGGGAAACAGGGCAGAATTGCTGCCAGCTATGAGTTTCGTGGGGCAGCCAGGAGACATCCCTGCACCTCCCAAAGTGCAGACCACGAAGAAATAACACGGGCTTGGCTTAAATACAGTTTCTCGGTTGCAAAAATGTGTCTCCCCACACCTGGACCTTCACATTTGAATTACCACCCTGCAGGCCCCGGCTGTGCCCAAGGTGGAGGTTGGTTGTGGAGATGCACCCAGAGGGGATGGGGACAGGGCTGGTGCCCCCCTTGCGTGCCCTAGTACCTGACTCTCTCTCTGCTCCATCCCCAGATGGGATGCAGACAGGTTGGCTTTTGTTTTTTTTTTCCCCAAACATGTCTTTTCTGTGTGTCGGGAGCTTTGGCACATCTTCTTCCACATCCCAAAGATCCCCTCCCCTGTGCAGGGCAGCGGTTTTGACCACCCAGACACACCTCCACCAAGTGCTGCTTGAGAAGAAGAGGAGAGAGCCCATGAAGACATAAATACAGCCCCCGAGGGAGCGCAGGGCTGGATATAGGCAAGGCCAACGCATCCACCGCAGAGCATGCCCCAGGCTCCCAAGAGGAGCTGCTTTCTTGGAAAGGCAGGTTGCGAGTGGGATGACTCAGGTCAGCGGCTCTCGCTGCCAACCCAAACGTACGGCCCGGCTGCATTCCCACCCTGCGGAGACGCTTCCTGGGGCCACCCCTCTGGCTCTGGGAGCAGGAACATGGGAGGCAGCCAGCCCCACCACCCTGGTTTCTGACGCAGGGGCTCCTTTCCTTTCCTTAAGACCTCAGAGATGTTTTGCACAGCTAGAAGCATCTGATGGGATGGCTGTGGCTCCCAGGCAGAGAGGGACGGGGAAGACACAGGACTGCCAGCCAAGAGCGTGCTCTGATGCCCACCAACTCCTGCTGCTGACCCCGCTCCTCCCATGTGCACCAGCACGAGGCCTTCTGCAAGGCACAGGATGGCAAAGTGTGGCTATCCACCCCTGTTTGCTGCCTCAGAGCACCCGGGGCTTGCTGAGTCCCTGCCACAGAGCTTATGTGCCTGGGAGCCGAAAAAAAAAAAAAAATAGGCAAAGAGAAGGCAGCTGCCACAGCTCTACGGGCAGCGCTGAGGCACGGTGGCTCTCCCAGCTCCCGGATCGGGTCCGTGCCAAGCGCAGCGCCGGCTGGGAGGCAGCCGCAGGGGCAGGACGGCCCATGCCATGCCTGAGGGCTCCTGCCCAGCCCCAGCGAGAGCTCTGCGGATCACGGGGGAGGGACGAGTGCCAGGCAGACAAGCAATTAGCTCCAGTTCTCAGAAGTACTCTTTTAGACCCTGACTTTTCTCCTCTTGCCCAGAGACAAGTAATTGTGTGTCTCAGCGGGGCTGAGCGGCTCTTGGCAGGGAGCAATGCCCCCGGCGCTCTAGAGGCAGAGGCAGGGATGTGGTTGGGAGAGGTCAGGGCTTATTCCTAAAGGGAGGGAGTGGAGCAAAACTCTCCGCGGAGCAGGGAGATGGATGAAAGATCACGGGCCAGAGAGGGAGAAGGATCGTGGAGAGGTAAGAGCGGGACAAGTATCACCCCAAGAAGCGATCGATAAGCTGGAGGAACAACATGCTTTTCTCTCAGCCAGGACCGAGCGTAAGCCCACAACTCCCAGGCAACTCGACCGCACTGCTGCCAGCAGAGCAATTCAGCGCTGCCGAGCCGAGGTGAGGGCTTCACCGCTGTCCTGTGAAGCCACTCACACCCCCTCATCTGCTGGATGCCGAGAGTGGAGGTGTCTTGGAGCAACGCGGCAGGCAGCAGGGCTTACCTTGCTCCGGAGCCTCCTGCAGCCGGCAGCCGCTGGCCCCTGGCGTCGCGGGTAGGGGTCTCTGCACTCGGGGCCGGTGAGAAGGGACGGAGATCTTCACGGGCCCCACATACTCCACGTACGTGCCGGGAAAGTCACCCTTCTGCTTGGTCCGCTCGTTGACACCCAGGATCCACCCGATCTGATTGGGGGTCTGCTCATCCCCATCTTTGAAGCCCAAGGCTTGCAGGGCGCCCTTGCTCACCACCAGGATGTCCCCAGGCAGCAGATCAATGTCCTCCTCACGCTCCTTGCGGTAGGGGTAGAGCGCGCGGTACTGGAACCCATCAGTGCTGCCCATTCTCTCTGTCGTGGGGAGAACGGCTCTGGATGACGAGGCAGCACGTTTCGGGCAGGAGAGGAGGGATCTCAGAGGCAGCTCTCCCCCATCAGCACTGTGAACGTCTCTGCGTGAATCAGCACCTCAGAAGCCTGGTCCAGGTGCCTCGGTGCGCTTAGGTGCAGCCCCTTTTCCTTAGCTTGAAACCACGATTCAGCCAGATTATGGAGCAAAGGGAGAAGGAGACAAACATAATCCAGCACTCGCGAGCGGGCATGCAGCAAAGAAACAGGAGATGGGGGTCTGCTTCACCAAAAAAGAAGCAGGTTTCTCGGAGTCCGGCGGGCAAAAGCACGGCACGCTTCCAGCCCAGAACAGTGTGGCATGCTACGTCTCCCTTCCCAGTGCCTGCAAAGAGAAGATGACCTGTCACTGCACAGCCAGACACCCCACACCCTCCTGAAATGCCAGCATTAAAACTAGGGGTTCATCAGAGCAGCTGAGAGAAGCAGGACTCGTTTCTCTCCTACCTACCAGGTGATGCTGAGCCCTGGATCCAACCAGGACGTGCTAATACCAATCTACGCTCCCAAAAGCGAGACAGGAACCCGGGGCAGGGCACAGGAATGCCACCTCCTCTCTGCTATAACCAGGCACCAGCTCTGCATCTTAAAGAGGTTCAGTCCTGCTTCTTCAGCTTACCCTCTGTCGCAGCACTTATGCAAACAAGAAGACAACCAGTGGGACAAAACAGCCTTTATGCAGGAACTTTTGCATACAGAAAAGGGTGACCCTGCAACCACCAGCTGGAGGCCCTGAATAGCAGCAAAACAAACAGATTTAACCTTTTCTTGTTAAATCGATTAAATTTCGCAGTTCACCTTTACATCTCCCCATGCAATCCCTCACAAAGCCGTTTTCTGAAGGTAGCTGCCCACAAATGTAGGTTAACCAAGCTTTCAGTGAAAGGCTTTTGAGATGCTTCGCCATTCCCACAGAGCAGCACTTCAAAGCTTTGCTCTGAGCAAAGTAAATTTTTGAACTTTTCAAAAGCAGCAACAGCATCAAGTGCGGGCATGGGTTTTGGGGTTTTTTTTTGCAGAGATGGAGGTGAGGGGAGTTAAAACAATCTTCAGAAGCCTTCAAGTCTACTTAGAACTGCTAACTGCCTTTCAGCTATTCAGAGAGAAACTGAAGAATATGCTGCCTGCCCTGCCCAGAAATCCACCAAAAAGAACAAACCTGGGTTATAACATGTTGTTGAAGGGATGTATGAACTGGGGCATTCCCACCAGCCGGGCATGTCCTCTTTTCCCATCCCCTCCCAGCCGCACAGGCCAGTTTTCCATCTCCCCCAGGCAAATCCCAGCACTCCGGTTCCCGCAGCCACAGCGTGTGGCTGAGCAACGGACCTACAAGGCACAGGGGCAGCCAGAAACCAGCCTTCCCAGGGACACCCTACGCCTGCTGAAACGCTGCAGGTCCTATTAACAGCTTGAGCTGTTTTGGCCCAGAAACCACCAAACCCAGAGCTCAAACTCTTGAGTCTCATCTGAAAGCTATTAGCGAGCAGGAAGGCGCTTCTCAGGGCTGCCGGAGCCTCTGCGGAGGGAGGAGAGGAGGCAAAGGGAGCCCGGGCACCCTTCCCGGCGGGGTCAACGCACAACCAAGCACGGCACGAAGCCAAGGCTGCTCCGACCGCTGGTTGGACTCTGCGAGAGGCACTAACGTTGGTGATCTGCGGTATTTCAAAATAACCCTTTCGGCCCAGCAACACGTTACACTTCAGCTACGAACACGTCTTTCCTCCCGCGCGTGCTACCACCCCTGCACACTACCGGAGAGTTCGAGATCAATGCGAGTCCCTCGAGAGGAGCCAGCTTCACCTCTCCGCAGCCCAGCGCCACGCTGCGGGCTCCTTCTCTTTGCCAAAGAAGAAAGGCACAAAGAGACCGTGGCACATGAAACCTGTGCAGCAGCCAGGGCCCGCACTAGTTGCCTGAGCTTGGGCAAGCGTCCCAGCTGGGCTGTCTTTGCCATGAACGAGCAGGCACTGCCTGCGGGGAGGTAAGACACTCACAGCCAGGCTCTGGCAGGTAGGGAACAGGATTGAGCCTGATCCACGTTGCTGGAGAGCTTCTCCGGAGCTCCAGGAGCAACACCAGGCTGCAAAGACTCATGGAGAGACCCTGGGGACAAAGGGGTGTTTGCAGGAGAAACAGCGCATCCCAGCACGGCCGCCGTGCAAGCTCCCACCATGCTGGGATGGCGGCCGCAGGGAACTCGCAGCAGAGCCCGCATTTCCCCAATCCAACCAGCCCCAGCCAGGAAAATATGACTTCATAATCAAGAGCATAAAGAGAGATTTATGGCCGGGCTCACAGCCTGCCCCTCTGAACGCTGCCTGTCGGGGTCCCACAGAGCCGCGTCGGCAGCGCCGGGGGCACTGTCTCACTGCCAGGGGTCTGAGCGGGCGCTGCCTGCTGGGAAAGGTGCTGGCAGCTCCCGCTCCTCCTGGAGAAGACAGACCTCACAACGCACCCGGAGGTGCCGGAGCCCAAACCCAGCGGGGTCGATGCTCCCCAGCAGGCACCTCCCCAGCTTCCACCCGCAGATCCCAGCCCCGACTCCAGGCGCCTCAGACAAGCGGGTGCAGCCGAAGAGGCTGGAAGGACAAAACGTTCAGCCCTGGCAAACTCGTTCAGTGGCTTTTAAAAGCAGACCTGCGTGGAGGGGTGGGAAGAGGAGAGATTCGCTCTGGAGCACCGAGCCTCTCCAAAGAGCAGGTCCCGCAGCTCCTGCTCTGTCGACTCCTTCCAAACTCCTTCCCTGTGGTGGGAACGCAGGGACGCAGCTCTGTGCCCTCCTGCTCTTCACATCCCAGTGGGTCACTGGGCACGTGAAAAAATACAGATAACTTAGAGCCAGCCTGGTCCTGGAGCAGCCTCACCTGCCTTCCCTCTGCTCAGCCCAGGCAGGGATCAAGTGCCTGTGAACACGGGTGAGGAGACCCCTGAGAAACCCAAATCTGCATGGCACCGTCATCTCCAGGGCAAGCAGTTGTCCTCTGTCCTACCACAGACCCAGCGAGCGGCTTCCCAGGCCGAGCTGCGTGTGCGGGACGGCAGCCTCTGCTCAGGAAAGCTCTGCACCCCGACGGAGAGCAGCCGACCGAATCGGCGTGTCTTTGGGGAGAGGGAACGCACACTCCCCAAAGCCCTGAAACAGCTCTTTGGAGGGAAGGTGAGTTGGGGAAGGCAGCGCCGAGAACGCGGGACACGCAGGAGCCTGTCGGCTGGAAGGAAGAACACCTCTGAGCCGGGGCTCTGCGTGTGCAGGAGAGAGGGAGCAGCTTGCCAAAAGATTTCAGCTGGGCCCGGCTCCAGGTTCGCTCGGCTCTCGGAGAGGAACCTCGTGTGTCCGCGCTGGCGAGCACTTGCTTAGGCTGCTCTGAAAATCCCATGCATCAGACATCTAAATACCTTTGGTAAATCTATCTCAGCGCCCAGAAACAATCCCTCGATTCATTAACTGCTGTCAATACTTTCTTTGTTTAATACGTCGGTTTGAAACAAAAAACACATTACAAGTCTTTTTGTGTATGCCCAGCACATAAATAAAAGCATCTTAATGTTTCAAATGTGGTTCCTGTGCTTTTTAACCCAGTTCCAAGCACAGTTCAAAGTGCAGCTTGACTCAAAGCGAGACTCTGCGCTACTTTCCCTCCCCAGTGCAGCAAAAGAATGTATAAAAATATTTAAAAGAAGAATACACTTACAAGAATCTACTCAAATCTTTTCAAGTTACATCAGATTCTCAGCGAGCAAAAAACCAACAAATCCAGTTTTGCAAAATGCTACATGTTAATGGGTTACAAACAATGAGAACAAACCTTTGCTTTAATAAAAAAAGAGAAAATTGGACAATGCAACTAGGGGTGGAAGTAAAAACGGACATGGAACCTCCTGCCACATTGTGCCCTATCGTGACAACTGCTGCTGCATCGAGTCTTTCCGACCTATGCAGCCGAGGCAGCTCTGCCCCTCACCAGGGTGGCACAAGCCAGCAGTGCCGAGCACGCCGTGAGTCACGCTGTGTCCACAGGCACCCGAACCACCGAGCAGCATCGGGGCGGAGAGGGTGAGAGCTTGGGAACCCCTGGTTTGTAATTCGGGACAGACACCACAGCAATCCCCTGTGCTCTCAGGCAGCTTTCCCGGGCTGGTTCCCTCCTGGGCCATGCCAAAGAGTCTGAAGGATGACTCACAAGGCTTGAGCCACAAGTGAGGCCGTGGCGGAGGCGGCAATGCCACGGCGAGCCGCGGAGGAACGAGCAGGGCAAGCCCGCAGGGAGCTGGCGCGGGCGGGAAGCGGAGCTGGACACGCTCCACCAGCTGCCCCTGGGGAAGTGGCCAGAGGAGCGGGGAGAGCCGGAGCCGTGCCGGGGGCTCACGCTCTCAGGCTGGCGACGGCCACGGCGCTGCCAAACCAGCTGGTATTTCCCTCCAAACAGGGAAAAGCAGCAGGGACGGTGAGTTATGCCGTGAGCCGTGCCCAAGGCAGGCATGCTGTCCTGAGAGCAACCACATCTCAGCAGAGGCATTGGGCAGCCAAAGCCATTTTCACCTCTTTTCTCACCAAGAAATGCTTCCCGTGCAGCCAGCAGAGCCAGAGGAGAAGCAGCATCCTGCCCACAGCCACCAGCTGCCCTTTGCCAGGGATACAGAGCATTTGCTGCTCAGACTTGGGTTTCATTAAATATTTTGCTTTATTCACTAAAGCCCAAGGAAATGAAGGAACATCTGAAACTTTTCACTGAAAAAGTAAATGTTATGGTTAGCAGAGACCTGAGGAGCCTAATAAATCCCTGCCTCGGGATGACCGATACCTTCCTTGTTTTTGAGAGACAACTGGAGGTCTCAACGACCTTCTCCTCAAAGGCTGGACAGTCCAAGAGCGCCTCAAGCAATTTGCAGACCTACTCCAAGACTTCTCATACTGCCGTGCTTCTCCTGACGTCC